ACTGAAAATGATATAGCCGAAACTGCAGAGGAGGGAGCTCAACACACACATTGTCACTGTCAAGAACAGGAGAGAATGGGTGGAAAGACTCTCATCCAGGCGCATTTTCTAACATGGGAAGTAACTATTTTATGTGCGTATTTTCCATATTCTATTTTCCATTCTGTGTTGTGTTTAAGTAAGTTAGTCATGCTGGTCCATAAATTTTCTAATAGCTCTCCAACAAAACTGAGTTATTCTAAGCTTGATTGGTGTGCTTTCCTATTAGAAGAATAACATTAAGGCAAATGAAGTCATCAGTTGCCACCCACAAACCTGTTTTTCTTAAGTTTTGTTACATTAGATAGTGCAGGGCATAAAAGACAATCTGAGAAGAACGTAAGATCCAAAATAGGAGCAAGAGATATCCACTGAAAAGATAAGAATGGAAAACACATTGATAAGTATAAGACAAGTACATTTAAGAAAAGCAGACATTTTATTGAAAGCCATTGGGACAAATTAAGGATGAATGCTATTGTATTTTACATCAAAATTTAGAATAGCCGAGAAATCTGTTTCATCATGAGTCAAATCACAGGCCCATCTAGGCCAGCACTAGCAGCAGCCCTGAGTAGTTTCAAGCAGGCTCCTTCCTAGCCCTATGTGGAATCTGTGTTATCCTGTGTTACCCCTTCCAGATAATAATGAATCCTAATTCTGATTAGCTTCCAAAATGAAATTGATGGATTTCCGGAATATTGGTGTGAAAGGTTTACCGTATGACAGACTAAAGGCACTGATGCCTCTCAGTTGGAGCAGAGCAACAATATGGTCTCTTAAATACCCCTTCATTCAGAATCCCATACCAAGTTTGAGCAGAAATTCTAGAACCTGGGACACCTAACTCGTCAGTTTTATATCTGACACATTTCCCACTTATTACTTATTTCTTCTATGGTTGTAGTTTTCGAAGTTGTAGCTATGTTAGCCAGTGCAAGGATTTCATCAAGAAACACTAACAAACAATAGCAAAGAAATATGTTGTGGCATCTTAAAGACAAACTCCTATATTTTAATGTAAGCTTTTGTGGAATATTGCCCACTTCTTCAGATGTATCAGTAGAATACAGAGACTACATGGCAAAACATTCTCTAAGAGACAGTGGTGTTTGATTGCATTTCACACTTTGTAATGATTTATGAATCTTGTTTGATTGATATTCAGCCCTTTTGAAGCGTGCCTAGTTCTGTAAATAGCAACATGATTAAAAGAAATAACAGAGGAACAACATATGGTAATGGAACGAATGACAGACTTTACCTTTGAGCCTTGTTCTGAAAAGATGTCTGGTTGTTGTGAAGGAAAATATCAGTAGATAACGGCATAATTATTACAACATTGCCTGATCCATTGATATGAGTGCCCAGCATGTGTATATGTTTCATCTCAGCTGTTTCCTTCTGGATTCTTGTTCTGTAGTTTTTCCTCTCCAGAATAGCAACTTTCATATCTTGTGAAGAGTGTCCTGATAGACTGAAATTATTTAAACAGTTTTTGTGTATTGCGATATCTGATGTCTGATGTATGTATGCTCTTCTTGCAAGCGTTGACCTCTAAAAACTCCCCAGATTTCAACAACAAGAGGAATGCATTCCTGCTACCACCATATTTACACATCTCCATTTACTCACAAGAAGAGTGTTTAAAGGATGGCCTTTTCTTAGCCCTTGAATGTATACTTATACATTCTGGATTTTTTTCTACCTGGAGAGTAAACCAAAATATATCCCAGTATTCTTATGAAAATTGTGATGTCCATTTGTGTGTTTTTCTCACCTTCAGACAAAAAGGAAAATTGTCTTTCATGAACAGTCAATAGGAGGTAGGAGCTTATGTTGAGTGATGGGCTGCCTCTGTCTAAATACTGAGTGAAAATTTCCAACCACATGATACAATGGGGAAGCATTAGGTCACACTGCTAAAGCTTGCTTTAAACTCAGTTTAAGAGGATGATGCCTGGCAACTTTTGCCATGAATTTTTGGGACATTCATTTATAATTTTTCTACACTAAACATAACTTTCTTCTGTATGCCTGGAGGAATTGTTAATCCATGATAACATGCATTAATTGCTTGATTTTTTCCCCAGTAGTTTAATAAAGATGTTGCATTCTTTCACATTTGTCTTGTTCTGATTAGAGATTGTGGGGACAAAACCAATCAGTAGTCTTACTCTGAATTAATGAAGGCAAAATGCAAGTATCATGTATATGTGGTATAAGATGAGCCTTAAGTAAGAGGATTTTGATGCAAGACGAGTTAAGGTTACGTTCTGCCACTGGAGTGTAAGGATTGTTTATAATCCCTGGTGCCAGTATAGGTCCTCACAGTTGCATGAATGGATTAATAGACAGATGAGCATGCAGGCGCGCCAGATGAGCACGCACGCGCGCGCGCGCGCACGCACACACGCACACACACACACACACACACACACACACACACACACACACACACACACACACACACACACACTTTTTGCAATATCTGCCAAAGTAATTCAGAACAAGGATGTGATGTTCTTAGAAACTTAGGAATGTCCTCAGGTGAGATACAAGAGAGCAGTTCTGAGGGCATAAAGCCTCATGTGAGGGCATTTGGAATCACTGTGAAGCTGATGTTTCATTTCAGAAACCAAAACATTTGGATCAGTTTCAGCCCCAGAAGTTTTATTATATTCTAGCAATGTTAATCAGGTCTCTGTAATTGGTTGTACAAGCATCCGTGACAGAAGAATATTAACACTCTATCCAGATTTCTGTCTTGCCCAGCCAAATTTTTACAAATTCCATGCCTAGATGTAAGCATGGCCATTTGTGAGCCCTTTTTTTTGCATACATTTGAACTAGTGAAAAGGACTTGCAACCATATGAGCTGAAATGGCTGAATACAATGCTCTGCAAAACTCTGGACATATTTAAACAAGAAAAAAATACACTAATAATGAGTTCTGTAACAATGATTTTTATTAACAGACAAATAAAAGACTCAAGGACATGGAGGCATTACTGAAAAACATCTAGATATGAATGTTGTACATTGTTTGTTACAGATGGACAGACATTTCACTTGCTTTTAATAATCAGAAAGTTTTCCATATAAGCCCAGTCCCACTAATCTAGACCATGATCAGTTTAATGAAACCTCCACACAAAATATTCTCAGTCATGAAATGTTTATATCTCTGTATGCTCTGAATGGGTTTATCTCTGTTCTCAGTTACATCAACATATTCCACAATGGGTGAAGTTTATTCAGAAACAAATGTAGGTGTTTATTGTTATGAGGGTTTTAGGCACAACTGTGCCTAAAAGACAGCTTTTTCAGACCAAAGTTCCCAGATGCCTGCAACCAGCATAGTGGCCATGCTGTCTGGGGAGATTTTGGGGATCGCAGTTCAAAAAGGTAACTTTTCCAAGCTCGTGTTAAATGGCATCTCCATCTAAGTAGTTTCATGTGCTGCATGTATGCATTAGGGTCAAAAACCTTTGAGTGATCCAACAAAGGTATAACTCATTCCTACCTTCAGATGCTGAATGTATAGTGCATTCATGCTATATCAGATGCATGGGGAACAGTAACTAGAACTGAAGATGTTATCAAATCTGTGTTTCACAGGATTTGTACTTTTTTTCTTAGTGCTGTGGCACCCGTATTGTTTTGGTAAGTTTTCTATGAGCTACTGTACTTGGAGTTTCAGACACCTAGTCAGTTTCTTCTTACTCTCTTGCCAAAGCTTAATACACAAATACACATATTGACTGAGTTGTTTGGATTGATTAGCTGCACTGAATTTGCCCATTGGATCCCCAAAACAAGAGCATATGGACCAGGCCTGAAGACACATCTATTTGTATGTTTTTCACCAGTAAAACTGTTGGTTAAATCTAAAGCCTGAACCTAGTTCAGTAGTGACTGAAAGATTGTGTCATCCATATTCATTAAGGGGAGCACACAAACCCCACCTCTTCTGCCATCTCTTTCATCACTGAAATGCAACTGTCTAAAGAAGGGGAATTATTGGGGGTTATGGCACATCTGAGGGACTACCTAGTACAACAGCCTCACCCTGTTTAGATAGTCACATTTTTGTGATTAACAGGACAAGAGGAAGATGGAGCTAGCATGCTTCTCTCATGCATCTAAGTATGACTGAATAGGGCTCAGGATACTACCATTATCTAGAAAAAATCTCTAGCAATTAAATAAGAGGTAGGAAATATAGACTAATGTAAGTACAAACACATTACATAATGAACTAAATAAACATGTCCAGCTTAATCAATAGCATGTTAACATTCTTAAAATATTATCAGATCACATATGCATTGATACTGAGAACCATAATGTCTTGAAAAAATATAGTAGACTAAGCAAATTCAAATCTATGAGTATAGTTTTGCAGGAATGGAATCCCCACTAGACATGCATAAATTGTATGCAAATTATGCCTTACAACTCAGAGTTTTTAGATTCATTTTAGGAAGAAACGTTGCAGTGAAGTATGATTTTCCTTGTGGGGGGGTCAGCTTTGACCAGATTTTCTAATAAGATCTAGTAAATTAAATCTGAATGTATACTAATGGTGAATTGTGTCCTGTATATCCATATGAGAAGTAATTAGTTCTGAAGAATATCCAACGAGCTGAAATATATTTGGTATTCTGGATATTATACACCATGGTTATCTGCACCATTGTGTGTGTGTGTGTTAATTCCATGACACATTATGAAGTGTCAGCCAGGAACAGCTTTTACATGTTTAGATTGTTTGGTTATTAAATGTGTTCATAGTGATTGCATTCTGTATTTTGTATCCTTCCATCTGAGCATGGAAAACATTTGGTTAAAGCATAGTCATGTTATTAACTTGAAGACCATCTTTCTAATTCTTGAATTTGTGCACTTTATTTTATTTATTTACTTCTTCTCCATCCAAAAGAATGTCCAATGATTGACTTGAAGACCATCTTTCTAATTCATGAATTTGTGCACTTCTTCTCCATCCAAAAGAATGTCCAATATATAGATGGAGTTTATCCAGGTGAAGATTTGAGGGAAGCAACATTTAAGCTCTTTTCTTCTCAAATGGCATTTCCTGACTTCCTGGAAGCCATGTTTGCCTGCTCTGTTCAAATAGCACTGCTTCCAGTTATTCCAGATTTTTTAAAAACCTGCTCCATATCAGTCCAACTTAGAACCAGTTTCAGACAACATGTACTTAATAACTAAGAAGCACACATGAAAGAAGAGGGCATGTGTCAATGAACAAATATCAACTCAAAACACTGAATAGCGGTGGGTGCTTTTTAAAATTGCCCAGTTACCCTCTCAATGTGTGTTTGCCATAAAATTGCCCTTTTAAATACCAAAATTAGACCTTTCATCAAGAAAAGGTATTCTGTTCCTTTCCTGTCTCCAAGATTCCCTGCATGTGGTATAGAAATGGATACCATTGTTCTTTGTGCTACCATTCGGTTGCAAGAAGACCAACATGGACACATGTGGTGAAATTTCTACAAAGCAGAGACAAAACAACTGGCCAATAAGACATTTTAGAATGGTGTTATTAATCTATACATTTTCTCTGGCTGGAAATGGACAATGTTACTGTAATGGGGGAGAAAGTATTTAAAAAACAGTGTCCTGTCTGCGGTTAATATGCTGTAGCCTTCCATCAGTTATCTGTCTTTCCTAGCTCATTTACTATAAAGAAGGCAGATGAATTAATGATTAATATCTGGAGCTAATTTTCTTGAGGATCTTTCACATACAAAAATAGTTTTCAAAATATCAGTTCGCTGTCGCTGCACAAGATGTGTATCAACTGGGAAGGACAGAGATGTGAAAAGAGGAAGGAAAATCAAATGACAAGACTGAGAAGACATGGCAGTATCAAAGTATCAGACAACCCAAAAGCAACAGTTAAGCTTGGTAACTGTTTTCTTTCCCCCACTTTATCTTCGTTTGATCATTTGTGATGGAAACCATTTTCCCCACCCCACTGCCTGTCTGGGCATCACAGGGATGATTCGGGATGATTTTCTAGGCAAAGCAGTTGAGTCTTTCTCTGTTCTCCAGTGGTTTGGAGGATGGGGTATTTCTTTACAAACACTTTAGGAGGAAGGTGTTACAAGATGTTCCTCTGGGACAGTCACAGAGCTTTCCAATCCTGGCTCCTTTTCTCACCGCACACTGTTCTCCAGCATCACACTATTATCAGCAGAAACCAACAGTTAGAGCAAAAAAAGGACACCGCTCAAAATCAAAGAAATAGCATGAGTCGTTTTAAAATACAATTTCTATATGGAAGTTTCCATTTGCACTTCCATTTTTAATTCTTTTATTTTATTTTTAGGATTAACATTAAGATTTCAATATTGGAAGAGAAGAGTTCGTCATTTGACTTTTTGTTACTCTTCAATATTCTTTAAAAAGCCACATTAAAATCCATAGAAGACATCTAGGTTTCCTCAAGAAGCTCACAATCAGACCTACCTCAGGTTATTTGTTGTAGTAGAATTGTCCCATACAATGTTTGGAAATTAGTCAATTTTGGTAAAATCAAGACACAGATCTTGTTAGTAGACATTACATATCTACAAAACCTGAAACCCTACTAAAATGAAAATATAGTCAAAATTCAACTTTTAAAAATGTAAATATTTACAGTTATGGGTCTGAGTGAAATTCTCCCTCTCAAGCCACATATATACACCTCAACCCAATATATAAAGTATATAGCTCTAGGAGCAAGTCAGAAATTCTGTCTTCTAATCAAGAATCTCAATAGCTTAAAAATGCAGGAGATTCTAATAGACTTGAAATCAATAATCATATTCTCATTGATCTTTCGAGAGAAAACTGCTTTTTAATGTATTCCAGGATCCACTTCAATTTTACATCACAAGGTAAAACAAATTATACAATATGAACTTCTGAATTAACTGGGGAATGAAGCCAAGTAAACAAATTTGAGGCACAATTTTAAGCATGTTGAATCAGAAGTAATGATGGGTTGCATCATTAGGATAATTAATTGACAAATTGGGAAGAAAGAAGCAAAGTGCCTGGAACGCTTGGAAATTACGTTTAAAACAAAACCTACAAGAAGAGAAGAACCTCCTAGATCAGTTATCTGGGTTTCCTGCATATTTACTCCAGAAATGAGAGCTGGTTGGTTTAGAAGGTGTCCCCTTTGAGGAAATGCTTCCTTTCAGAATCACGGACTGGAGTTTGGAGCCCCCTTCCCCTAGCTTAGTTTCCCTCTCAGAAACATGGTATTCTTCAAACTTCCCCATCAGTGTTTGTGGGCTGGGATACAAAGTCAACTTACCATAGGGACTTGGCCATACTTCTTTTCATAAAGAGGCAGCCGCTTGCTTTTCAGCTTCTCCAGGACCTCCTGCAGAGCCTCGATCTGCAGATACACAAACCTTTTCCCATCAAGAACACCTCCAGCAAATTGTCCTAGGATGCTGTGGGCACTGGAAAGCACTGCAGACCCAGAGGCAAGCCTGATTCTGCCTCCCACGGATCTTCGAGAGCAGCCCCCCCATGTTAGGATGGTCTTTCCTACTTCTGCAGCTTCCGTTTTAACTTTCCCTCCTATCAGCGACATGTGTCCGCTGCAACTGTTCTTAAGTTTATCCATCCCTACGCTGCTGCTTTCAGGAAACAAAGGAAACCATGCCCTAGCTAGGGATGCTTTATTAACCAGTACTTCGGCAGGATTCCTACACCTCCACCCATCCATAGGCATGCTTCCGAGACACCGCTTTCTTGTTTTGACCTACCAGCTCCTTCTCGTGGGACGTGTCTTCTACGGTGGAGTAGAGGTCCAGGGCTCGCGGCTGAAGCTCGGTCTCCTCCTGTCCGTTGACTCCCAGCAGCAGCACGAAAGCGGCGCCTAACAATGCAAGCAGCCGCGAGCTCTCCATGGTGCTGAAATCTCGGAGCCGCCTCGGCGGAGCTTTCTATTTATACCCCAGGCGGGCGGGGCGGAGCGGAGGGGTGGGGTGGGGGGCACCTGTTGACACGGAGCTTCTTGCTCAGCCCTACGTCACGCCAAGAGCGGGTGCTAGTGCCAGGAGAGGTGATGATGACTGAGAGTGGGACTTGAAAGAGGAGGAGGGCAATTATCTCGTTTTCCTTCAGGGCAGACAAGGAGCAAGGCAAAGAAAAAAAAAAAGAGGGAGGGAGCAAGAAAAATCCCAGTATCTGTAACAGGATAATCACTATATTATGCCAACCAAAAGGGCACAAAGCTGTATGTAAACTTTCAAGCAAGCTATTGTGAGAAGTAGAAGGAGGAAGAAACAACTGACATGGTACAGAAGTCATGTTATCTGAATGGTGCCTTGGAATGTTAATATAGGGAGAATTTTCAGAAATTCATGTGAGACTCTATAAAGTAATAGGGTAGTTTTAGGTTTTTTCTTACCTTGCCTTGCCTTGCCTTAACAGGCTGAAGTATGTCCAGAGGAGGACAATCAAAGTAGTAAAGGATCTAGAAGCCTACCCCTATGTGGAACTGTTGATGGAGTCTGGCACATTTAGCCTGGAAGCAAGATTGGGAGGTGATGTGATAACCATCTTCAGATATCTGAAGGGCTGTCATGTGGAAGATGGAGCATCCTGATCACTTGCAACTCAGTAGGGTAGAACCTGAAACAACAGCTTCAAAATTACAGGAAACCAGATTCTGATTTCATCTGAGGAAAACTGTGGGGGGGGGAACTGTTCAGCAAAGGAATGGAGTACCTCAGTCTTCACCTTCAGTAAAAAGAAGTTGGATGGCCACCTATCAGGTGTGCTTTAGCTACATTCGTTACATATTTCCTGCATGGGAATGGAGGTAGCTTTAAATTTTTCAGCCATTATGCTGTTCAATTTTTCCATATAAATAGATGTAGATACTCAAATGGCTGAAGTGGTCTAGAGAGATACATTAACCTACTTGGTTTTGTGGCTGCTCATGCATCCTGTCACACAAACACTCAGGCAACCAGACAAGCTACTGGGCAATATCTACATCACAACAGCCATTTCCACATTTGCAGTTGTACGTGCAGAAAACTGAACAACATACTGGCTAATTTAGTGTTGCTGTGATGTGTCATCCTTTGTAGACAGGAATGATGTAGGTTTAATAAATCTGATGCAGTCAGTTGCAGCCCTCAAAAGTTTATGGAATAGAAAACTTGCAAGGTTGAGAAATTCTATAATTTTTATGCATGTTTAGTGCAATTTGTTCCTCATGGGTACAGGCCTGAAACTTCTTGGTATTCTTACACATGGTTTAAAGGTGCCTGGCTGGCAGCCTTTTAACATGTTATCATATAGACCCTTCCCTATTCAGCAGTACAGGTGCATAGGTAGAACTCCAACTGTGCATGCTACAGCATGATGCTACTAATTTACCCGGGTGCATCATCAGATCGCTACAGCAGCTTCTGCAATTTTAACTCTGTGTGTGTGTAAATATTGGAAAAAGATACTGCTCATAGTGTCTGTAGCTGTATAAAAAAGTAGTTGGCTGTACCTAGGAAGCTGTTACTTTATATTAGTACTATCCACTCACTTCTGTGTCATTGCTCAGAAATCTAGGGGCAAAGGCCAGTAGAAGCTTTCAGCATGTGGTCAGAAATTAAACATTAGCACTGTGACATCTGGCAAGATTCATATGGCTAGCATTTGACTCCTAGTAATCTGAATGCTCCAGCCGCTGGAGGGTCCTCGGACCTCGAACAGCGAGGCTGACTTTTGCCTTCCGCCCAGGATATTGCGAGACAGATTAGTCTCATGTGACTCATATGTGGGAGGGGAAAGCCAGGTTACTTAAGTTGCTTTCCCCTCTAAAACGCCCTCTCCATGCGATTAAAGTGCCTGCGGTGGGAAGATGCGCTGGGCCACTTCCGGACTAACAGCCCTCAAATAAAGAGGGCTCAAGGTCTGGGGGTGTTTATTAGCAGCTGGCCAAGTTCGTGCTGTCCTTAAGATCACTGGAACCTGGGGCCGGGGACTCACCCTTTCATTGATCAAGGGGTATTTAGATACTCACGTCATTTAACTGTTTCCACACTACAGCAGGCCCCCCTCCTTTTGACAAAGAATGAAAATTTTGAATCTGAATGTATATTAATAAAGTGTGGCCCGTTTTTAACCCGTACCACTGTCTTGCGTTTTATTCCGGGGTTGAGAGGGCATAGAAACACAAGGCTTATTTTGGCTATGAAAAGAATTATAAGAAACACAGCACACCCTGTAACAGAGCAGCTGAGATAAAGTTTAATCTACACACCAGGTGAGACAATTGCAAACAAATTTAACAATATTGCTTAGCAGCTGGAAGAAGATGACCTCAATTTGTAGTTTCACTTGGTCAATGGTAACTGTCCATGTTTAGCTGTAGACAAGAGCCATCTATAAGAAAACATGGACAGTTAACATTAACCAAATGTGACTGTGAACCAAGGACATTTTTCTCCAGTCCTAAGACCATAATGTTAATTTGGCTGCAATTGGCTTAACTTTGTGGTTTTTATTTTTGGCCCCATCAACAGCTCTGAAGTTCCCAGCCTGGTGAGGACTTTTAGGAGTTGAAAATCAGTGGTATGTCTGTGATTGTTTTAGTGATCTAATAAAGATATCACCCATCCTTTGGATTATGTACAAGGACTACATTGTGTTTTTCTTTTCTTTTTAGTTGCATATGTGTACTCCTCTTTCTCTTGACCCAGTTCACAGGGATCCCAATTGCAAGGAAGACTAGTACATTAGAGCACGGTCTCATCTTGAAGAGGTCTCAGCCAGCCTACTCCTGCCTAGCTCCTTAGCAGAGTCAGAAGGTCAGGGCCCTGCCTGTGTCCCCCTCCAGCTTTCTGCATGTGTGAATGCTTGGTTGCTTGCCTTTGTGTATGCATGTTTGTGGATGAACACCCATTTTGCAACAGCACTATCATTATGGTCTCAAATCATAACAGACAGCATGTGCCACAGCCTTCATGTTAATATTTAACGTTCAGTCACTGGAAGGGACATTGGCAGAAGGAAGAGATTTTACCCATCGCTTGTAATGCACATACATGAAGGACTCCTTATTGCTGCAGCCCCATATTTCAGACAAATTTATCAGAAAAATCTAGGAAATGTCCTTCCCATCTACTTTTTTTAAGGGTTGTACATACTTTTTATTGAAACTCGTTTCCTGATTTTAGTTTACATGTTGTACATTTACCCTGTGATTTCACATTATATTTCTGTGTTATTTTAATGAGAAATTTATTTTAGCTTGCAAAAAGCATAGAAATGTTTGGACCTAGGTAAATACCCTTCATCATAATGGGCAAAGGTGCAAAAGGTGCAAAAATTGCAAGATATCTCCATGAAAATATAACCTTTGAAATTATTTTCTCATGTAAGGGGAAAAAATAATGGATGCTGCTTCCATCGTCTTCCAAAGACAATGAGATTTACTCCATTTTTCATTGATAAACTCTGCCAGTGTAGACAACAGCAGGTAAAACTTGAAGAGGTGAATGCCACCACATGTGTGCTGGACCCTTGCCCTTCCTGGCTCATAAAAGCAGCCAGAGGAGGAATGGCGGATTGGGTACGGGGAGTGGTAAATGCCTCTTTGCAGCAGGGTAGGAAACTGAGGCAAAGATGGTGTTGAGAAGTTCAGCCTTTTCCCTGTCCTCTGTTAGTAGCTGGCCATCTTCTCCACACAGTGACCCTATCATTTCCTTGTTTTTCCTTTTGCTATGGGCATAACTAAAAAGCCCTTTTTATTGTTTTTCATCTGTCTGGCAAGCCTGAGTTCATTCTGCACTTTTGCTTTTCTTACCTTCCCCCTACATATACTAGCTATTTGCTTGTATTCCTCTTTGGTGTTCTCCCCATTTTTCCATTTCTTGTACATGTTTTTTAACACTTAGTCGACCATTCTGGTTTCTTTAGACACCGTTTTTCCTTCTTATTGCAACAGTTTTAGATTGTGTTTTTAATATCTCCCTTTTAAGAAATTTCCATCCATCCTGAACTCTCTTCTCTTTCACTATCGTTGTCGATAGAATTACAGCCAGTAATTCCATAGGTTTATTGAAATTGGCCTTCTAAAAATCTAGAATGCATGTCTGGCTGCACTTGGCTTCCCATTCCCACAAATTCCAAGAGAGTGTGGTCACTCCCACCTACGGATCCCACCACTTCGACCCCATTAATAAGGTCATCCTTGTTGGTTAAGATCAGATCTAAAATAGCCGATCCCCTTGTTGCCTCTTCCACCTTCTAGACCATGAAATTGTCTGCAAGACAAGTGAGGAATTTGTTGGACCTTGGCAGAGTTTGACTACCAACATATATTGGGAGCAGATTATCTAGACCCATTTCAATCTGGTTTCAGGCCTGGCTATGGGACAGAGACAGCTTTGGTTGCCTTGGTGGATGACCTATGCTGAGAACTGGACAGGGGGAGTGTGTCCCTGTTGGTTCTGCCAGACCTCTCAGCAACTTTCAATACAATCAACCATGGTACAGTATCCTTCTGGGTCATCTCTCTGGGATGGGACTCAGAGGCAGCATTTTACAGTGGCTCCAATCCTTCCTGGAAGGGAGAACTCAGAAGGTGGTGCTGGGTGACTCCTGCTCATGCTCTGGCCATTGGCCTGTGGTGTTCCTCAGGGCTCTGCTTTGTCACTCATGCTTTTTAACATCTACATGAAACCACTGGGAGAGGTTGTCTGGAGTTTTGGGGTTCAGTTTCACGAGTATGCAGATGGCACCCAACTTTCCACCTAATTCTAGGGAAGCTGTCTGGACTCTAAACCAGTGCTTGGGATCAGTAATGGGCTGGATTACTGGATTAGGGCAAACAAACTGAAATTTAATCCAGACAGAGGTGCTCCCGGTTAGTAGGAAGGTAAGAGATGAGGGAATAGGGATACTACCTGTGCTGGATGGGATTACACTCCCCCTGAAAACTCAGGTCCACAGCATGGGTGTATTCCTTGATTCATCCCTAAGCTTGGATGCCCAGGTCTCAATGGTGGACAGGAGTGCATTTGCACAGCTAAAGCTGGTGTACCAGCTATGCATGTTCCTTGAGATGTTGGATCTGGCTACAGTGACACATGCCTTAGTTACATCCCATTTAGATTACTGTAACACGCTCTATGTGGGGCTGCCTTTGAAGAAGATTCAGAAACTTCAGCTGCTGCAAAACTCTGCTGCCAGACTGGGGCCAGCTGCAGAGGGCATATAACAAACCTATTACAAGAACTGCACTGGCTACCAGTCCATTTCTGGGCCCAATTCAAAGTTCTGGTCATGATCTATAAAGCCCTATACAGTGTGGGCCCAGGCTACCTGAAGGACCGTATGTCCCTATATGTGCCTTCTCAGCGATTAAGATCGGCAGAGGAGGCCCTCCTCTCGGTCCCATTGCCAGTACAAGCACAGCTGATGGGGACATGGAACACTCTCCCTCAGAAGATCAGGATGGCCCCTTCCCTTCGATCATTTAAAAAAAAAAAACTAAAAACTAAAGACCCATCTCTTCAGGCAGGCTTTTAACAATTACAACAGTCGGTTGTAGGTTTTTCTTCCTAATGTTTTGCCAGTCTCTGTGGCCAGCATCTTCAGAGGACAGGAGGTAGAACTCTCCCTTGTTGGGAGTAATGTGGCACATAAATAAAACTAATAATAATAATAATTTCACAAACATGCATGTTTTGAAGCAATAAGCTTCTCAAGAAGAACAGTGGAATGGTGCCACTTACATTTATTCAAGAATATTTTTGACTCAAGGCTACACTTACTGTAATGAAGACGCCGGAGTGAAAATAAATTTCCTTCAAATGGTAATAAGTAACCAGGAGGTAACTTTCTCAGAGGTAGAAATACAGCCTTTTTTCATGACCTCATCTCAAGATTATTGATGAATTATTCCCTGCTCAAGAAGAAATTTAATTACCACTCTCTGTGGGATTGCTTGCAGGCCAAGAATGTAATTTTGAGGCAAAGGCCCAATGAAAGAAAGAACTAGTTTGCCCACTAAAGGATGCATCATCTGGCAAATATTTATGTGAGGTATTGTCTGTCAGCCCAGAGCGGTGTAGATACAAGAGGAACAGAGAAATTATAATTTAACAGAACAATTGCTCCTTTCCTTTATTTTAGTAGTTGAGAGCACCAGACATCATTTGCAATAGAAAACAGGGTTATTTTGAGAGATGTCATTTCCGTATTTTCAAAAGCAAGGTGGGTAGACAAGAGGCCACCAGATTACGTATTTCATTTTCCACAGCAGGGGCGGGCAAGATGTAGCAAGCAATTAACAAAAACCCACTAATCCCTTTTTTGCGTCTGCTAGCACTTCTGGAACCTCCCCCAACCCTTCAAAATCCACATTTAAAAAAAAAACTATTTAACATGGGGACAGTTTGGTCCATTTTCCACTCAAAAAGCCCTTTTCCCTCTAGCAGATATAGGGTGTAATTTTCTGAGAATCCCTTTAACACTGTTGCTGCCTGATATATGTATTAAACATTTTTAAATGTTTCTGCAGTGGATCCCATTCAGTTTAAAAGAAAACCTTTCACTGTATTTAGCTAAACCCATTTTTCAGTTAACAAGATGTCAATGTTGAAACCCTTAGAATAAATAATATGGTCACTGCACTGAAAATTTAAAACCATTAAATATTAAAAATTGCCTTTGTTACCTTTCCCTTCAGAGTCCTGTCCTCAGTCTGCCAGCAAATCTGTAAAATTGATTGATGGGATGGCCCTATATTTGCCCTACAGTATTAAAGTTAGTATAATACTGTATTTAAGAGCAAATTCATGAATTTCTTCATGAGCAGGGAAAGTTTACAAAGAGTAACGTGAAATTTCAGGAATCTGCAGGAATATAATACTATTTAAACTTATTTCAGTTTACTCTTACTGCAGATAACTGGACAGGAAACCATCATATCCCCAAGTCTTAATATTCAGTTCCTCAATTTCTAGGTCTCATGTGTAAAATGGAAATACAGTGGACCCTTGACTTACAGACGGCTCGACTTACAGACTTTTCGAGTTACAAACTTCTCTGGCCACAAAATTTAGATTCGACTTGCAGACGGAGAATCGACTTACAGACCAGAAAAAAACCAAAATGGAACAAAAATAGAATAAAAACTGCCAGTTATGGGATTAATCGGTTTTCAATGCATTGTAGGTCAATGGAGATTCGACCTACAGACTTTTCGACTTGAAGCCACCGTTCCAATACAGATTAATTCCGTAAGTAGAGGGTCCACTGTACAGTATTTCAACTTCCAGGGCTCTACTGACAGCCAATGACTGTTATAAAACATTTTGAATCTTGTATTGCCCGTTTCCTTCCTCCTAGTTTCATTAAAAGTATTACTGAATTTCATAGAATCATAGAATAATGGCGTTGAAAAGGGCCTGTAAGGCCACTGAATCCAAACCCCTGCTCAGTGCAGGAATTCAAATCAAGGTGTATCTGACACATACAGTAGCTGTTTAATTTTCTCTTGAATGTCTTGTGCTGGAGCACTCACTAACTTCTGAGGTAATTGGTTCCATTGTTGTATTGCTCTAACAGTCAGGATGTTTTCCTGATATTCAACCAAAACCTGGCTTCCTACAAACTGAGCACATTAATGTGTTTTCTGCACTCTGGGATCGTTGAGAACAGATCCTGCCCCTCCTCTGTATGGCAGTCTAATAAATATGTGAAAAGTGCTATCCTATCTGCCCTTAGTCTTCTTTTCTCAAGGCTAAACATGCCCAATTCTTTGTCTTTCCTCGCAGGGCTTGGTTTCCAGTCCTCTGATCATCCTAGGTGTCTTCCTTTGAACTTGTTCCAGTTTGTTGGCATCCTTCTTAAAGTGTGGTGTCCAGAACTGGAAACAGGACTCAAGACGAGGCCTAACCAGTGCTGGATATAGGGAGACTAGTACTTCAAAGGATTTGGAGACTATGTTTCTGTTAATGCAGCCTAAAATAGCATTATCAGAGAATAATCGAATTGGAAGGACTACAAGGCCATCGAGTCCAACCCCCTGCTCAATGCAGGAATCAAAATCAAAGCAGATCTGAGAGATGGTTGTCCAATGAGCCTTTTTTGCAGCCATACTGGATGGTTGGCTCATATGCAGCTTGTGGTTTGCAACAATTCTAAGATACTTCTCACTTGTATTATTGAGTCAAGTATTCCCCATCAAATAACTGCATTTGTAGTTTTTGTTTCCTAAGTGTAGAAATTTGTACTTAGCACTGTTAAACTTCATTTCAGTGCTAAAACATTTAGTTTTGGAATAAAGTCTTGGAACAAAGATTAACTTGCTATGACGTGTTCCCTTACATCTGTGAAACCAGGAGCTAAGATCCTGAGTGTATTCAGAAATGCCAAGTACCAAGCAGCTCTCATTGATTTTGAAGTATTACCTCCAATGGCCCCTCCAAATGCAATCAATCTTTGCCAGAACCAGCCTGTTCTGCTATTAATGGCTGCACATTGACCAGGATGGGAAGTGAAGAACGAAGAAATTACGATTTCATAGCAAAATAAAATTCACAGCTTCCTTGTCTTATCTACTCACTGTTAATATAGGTATTTTTAATTAAATGAAATTCACTAACAGAAAATGCATATATGCCAGGTGGCTAATTAAATTAAATTAATGAAGATGCGTGAGTGTCTGGCTTCTGAATAATTATTATGCTTTAGATTAAAATTTTGATCTTATGAAACAAAATTGAAATGTTCTACAAAACACAACATTATTAGGAACAGGAATTTTATTTAAGTCATTTAATAGAATTTTAGGCAAACAAATATTAAAATGTACAATTATCTACGTAAGAATATTGAGCATGGTAATACAAGATTTCCAATTTTATGTAAGAATTCATGAAAACAAGAGCCAGTTAAAGTATTACACAGATCTTTGACACATTTAACTCATTTGATTTTATTAATCAGAAATCATATCCAAAGGCACCATTATCAAATCTTTAAAATCACATTCTGAATACACCAAATTCTGTCTTCTTTGTAGGTGCATTGAGTGCGGCACTTAGGCTGAGACCCAAAACTAATCTTGTGTCAGCTGGGTCAATTATTCCATCATCCCACAGCCTAAAATGAAACAAACAAAATAAAAAAGTTTAGAGAGAAATAAGTGCCTTCCATAGTTGTAGTATTAGAAGAGGTCGCTCTGTTTGTCTATGCTGGCATGTCAGGCAAAAACAAGGAGAGAAAGAAAAAGAAGATGATGCTGTGGCACCTTAACTTCTATATTTTATTGCAAGCTTTTGTGGACAAGTTTCAAGAAGTGGACATTTTTGTCTTCTTTATTTTTGAAAGAGCCTCGTGGCACAGTGGTCAAACCGCTGTACTGCAACCAAAATGGTGCTCATGACCTGGGGCTCAATCCCAGGTAGCCAATTCAAGGTTGACTCAGCCTTCTATCCTTCCGAGGTTGATAAAATGAGTACCCAGCTCGCAGGGGTGGGGGGCAATGTGTAGCCTGCATAATTAACTTGTAAACCGCCCAGAGAGTGCTTGAAGCGCTATGGGGCGGTATATAAGCAGCACACTTTGCTTTGCTTTTTGCTTTTTGTTTCTGCCTGATGGAGAGAGAAATTCAGTATCTAAAATGGTAATAGCTGGCTAGATGCCTCAGTGGTTTAGATATCTGGACGTGGAGCCAAAAGTTGAGAGTTTCCCACTGTGCCTCCTGGGAGAAGAACCAAGTCCTAGGATGCTCCCAGAAACAGGGAAGGATCAACCTTCTGAGGATTCTTCTGAGTATTCTTTTATCTAGAAAACCCTAGAAAGGGTTACCGTAAGTGTGGATTAACTTGATGGCACATAATTATTAGTTAAAATGGTAATAAGCACTTTAATGCAGCAACCTCTTACACTGGTTGACCATTCAACCATATGGGCAGGAGCTAATTGTAGATTTCTGTACTATGTCCCCGAAAGAGGCCACTGTAAGTGGCTCTAGCTCATGAGGTTGGGTGATTGTTTTCATTTATATAGTGCCTTTTCTCCAAAACTGGGAATGTTACCTCTCTCCAGTTATGCCTACATATCAAAGGTACTATTTAAAGCCCCCTCCCCAAGTTGAGTGAAATACGTTTGATTGGATTCCATTAAGGAACTGCCAGCTTGTGGATCACGCATACAATAACAAACATTTTTATTCAATTGTGGTCAGGATGTAATATATCAGCCTACTCATTTCATACAGGTTTACTCATTGTGAGCTGCTGCTCTAAATATTACACTAATATATCATCTCCTTTAGTTCAAAATAATTTACCTTATTCTAAGATATGGTACACACTTAATCCTTGGATGTACTAGTCACAACAGAGTTTAGAGATTTCATTATAAAACTAACAGGGAAGCATGTACGAAATAAGCATTTATTACAGATAATAAGAAGACATGCCAGAGTTAGGTATTTTCAAGTTATATTCATTTCAATAGGAAAATACACGCCTAAAGGTATTTATTTTTATACAATAGCCATACTCTGCAGAGGACATGCAAAATATAATAATTGGGCTTAACTCAAATGTCAATTGAATATGGCTTTGGTTTTATGCCTTGCCAAAAATCATTTTACTAATCTTTATCACTGAAGAATAGTTTCAAATAAATGGAAATTAATTCCTATCATTAATAAACTGCTTAAAGCAGCAAATTAAAAAGGTAATAAAATACATTCCACAAATCATGTACACATCCATGTATTGACATTACAAATCATGACTAGTTGTGTGAAAAGCAGTGAATACTACACAACTGCAAAACCCCAGAATATGGATCATATGCATATCTTCTAAGTAGTCTTTTTTAAAATTATTGTTTGAAAGTAGAAAGCCCAGGCTATATTTGAGGAGGAATACAAATGCTTAAGAATATTTATCTATGAATAAACAGACAACACAGAATGTTTAGATCATGGTATTTTCCTCTGGCTAAAAGTTCAGGTCTTCAATAATTCTTTGAAGATTACATTTTAAAATCTAATTATATAGAAAAATGCAGCCCACTTTTCAGATTGCTAATATTCATAAAGAACAGGTTAACCCACGTGCTTCACATATTGCACCAGAAAACTCAAACTATGTCTCTTCTCAGATGTTTATTACATGTTCTCACACACAGATACTTTAATCAGAAAAAAATGTACTAACAAAATGTACTATCAAAATGAATTTTGATAGTAATAGCCAAAATCCTGTTGCTTAGCATAGTAAATTGTGCTACAGTAGGCCCATTAAATCAATGATGATTTAGCAAACATGTTCTCCACAAGTTCCATTGGCCTACTCCAATTGTGAATTACTTTGGGATAGTAAGTCACAGTTAGAGGAGGCCCATTTGAATCAATCAAATTTAAGGATGAATTGATTCACCAAATCCCCACTGATTCAATAGGCCTACTCTAGCACAATTTACTACACTAAGCAACAGGATTTTGGTGAAATAAACAACATTTCTTTTTGACAAATATGTATACTGTAGTTTGCCTTTTATTTTCAAAGACTATTCCCATCAAAAGTGAGCAGTTAAGATTGAATAGTACATTCCTGGTGAACTCACAGATCATGAACCATCCCAATATAAGCCCAGATGATACAGCAACAGTGGGACAGGTGGTTAGCTGGCCCTGGACCCTTTCGGGCAGTCTAGATGCTACATCTTTGCTTTCTCATTTCTTAGTTATGGAACAAACAGAATACACCTAAGAACAAGTCACAACTCTTTTGGAAAATGTGGTATCAAAGGGTGGCCAGAGGTATTTTGCAGATACAGTCACTTTCACAGATGCCTTCATTGCCTCAGGATCAGATCACTTGAACATGATTATTTCCAAAGTCTCTAGGAACACTTTGGAAAGAAATTTAATTACAATAGCGAGAATTTGGACTGGTGAGAGTCTTTTCAGGCCACCAAATTAAATTATTTTCCTATTTATTTTACTATTTATACTTACACACTATTTCCTCCACCACACACAAAAAAGCTGAGGATCAATCTCCCTCTCCTCCTTACTTTATCATCACAGCAACCCTGTGAGACAAAGTCAGGCTGAGAAAGAAGAGTCAGCCTAAGGGAATACAGTGAGTTTCAGGTGTCAGTCTTGAACCTGGCTGCCACTTTATTCCTCAATGAAATTAAGAGGACTGGTTAAAAGCCTAAATGACTGAAAGTCTATCTCCTCTCATGACCCTGCTCACCAGCTAAAGTCTACAATGCTCACTGCTCCATGCTCCTCTATCAGCAGAAGAACAATTGTTGGTTTATGTTGAAAAGATCTTTCAGAATATTAAGGCTGTGGAAATTTGCTAGAATAGGTCACATATTGATGGCTATTCCAGATACTTGATGATGCCTTAAGAACTTTATGTTGGAAGAATCATCTTGAGCATCACCCTTTTGCATCTCTTCCCCTAGATGCCTAACAGAGACATTTGGGAAGTAAGACTAGGATGTAACTATTCTTTTTAAAAAATATTTGCCACCGTATATCTCCTTTTCTCAACCCTTTTTAACCTTCAAGCTGTTAACATCTCTTCTTTTTCAGAGTGGGCTAAACCTATTCTCTCTGCACCACATGCTTACCCCTTGAGACATGGTCTTCTATCTAGTTTAGGATAGGCTTTCCTATAATCCCCCCCCAAATAAACCTAGTAACCTCTATTTAAGTTTAACCTTTGGTTTTATTGCTGCAGAGAACAGAATAAGGTGAATTTAAAAGCTCACATGAAGACCATTGCTGTTTACTCTGCTAACTAAGAGATCTCCTAATACAGCCTGCCACAGATTTAACAGATTGAATCAAATTTTAAACCACCACCATTCCTCTGTCATAGATGATTTCTGAATCCATTTCCTTTTCTCCACAACTGTCAGTATTAATAACTGTTTTTAAAATGCTGTGCTCTATACTTTTGACTTGAACGTTGTTTTTTTGGGACATGTGTGTGTGGTTTTACTTATTTATTTATTTATGTGGTTTTATTTGTTTGTTTGTTTGTTTGTTTGTTTGTTTATTTGTCTGCTTCTAACCTTGTTATCAACGTGGGGGTCCCAAGTGATGAGAAACAAACATTAAAATCAATTCATCTATTTTTATTAAGAAATTGTCCACAACTGTACCTCAGTGAATGAACTTGATAGCACTTCACAAAGATGGTACAAAGAATACTCATTTACTAGATGAGAGCAATATCCAAAAGCTTTACTTAAGTCTGATTTTCAAAGGTTGACAGAACATATATAAAAAAACAAGTATGCCCTGACTTCACTGGATCAAATCTGAGCTGAAGAATTTTGTACTACAATGTTTTCACATTTTGAGTATTTTGGCCAAGAAATCAGTATAAAAGGAAAACATGAATAATGATTATATATTCAGAAAACACTAGTATTCCAAAACAATTTCCTTCGAAATGACAGCCTTGCTTCAAAATAATAAAAATATTTCTATTCTTTAAATCTTTAGAATACAGCTTTGTTATGGCAAGTAGAGATTTCAGTGACAACTTGAAAGATTTTCCACTGTTAAAATAAATATTACTTCTACAAGTCAGAATGGCTTACTTGCTTTGTTTAGTGGAAACCGCCGTCTGTAGTGGGACAAAGCATTAATTATTGAGCAACCTATCAAGCCCTATGGCAAGAACATGAATCATATCTCTGCTTGTAAAAAATTCATAGCAGTGCCTCTCCAAGGAAAAGAAGTGAACGTCCTGGGAAGACTGCTGTTTCTGACATTTGTTACCAGGTAAACTGATTAAACTCCTTTTAGAAATCCGTAAGCAGATTAATCTAGCTCATTAAAACGATGTCTGGCTAATGACTCTTGATAATTAAGGTTTCTCTATGAGAGAGGTTCTCGTCTGATGAGGAAAAAGAACTATGGAGCAGACTACTGACATCCTGTACATTGAATGAGATATAATTTATATGCAAAACTAATAAAGAAATGTACTTCCAATTAAAAACACATAAAATCATCTCTTGGTCTCATTTTATAATTCAAAAGCAACAGTCCTGACATAAATACAGTATCGCTGTTTGTAATGTGCGCTACATAAAATTATGTGCACATT